CGACGGGCGGGTGGGCAAACCTGTCTGGGTCATTACATTGTAAACTGCAGAAGACTCGACTTCACTTGAGGATCTAACCACAGTCCAGTGCTTTGAAGACTCAAAGACGTTTGCAAAAGAACCGACTAACCCCCCTACTAGCTTATCTAGGTCACTAGACGAAACGCAGGTTGTGTTGTGCCAATGGGTGCACAAACTCGGCCTTTCTTCCTCCCTGCACTGTACCCCCCAGTTCCGAAAGAGCCTCACGAATCCGCCCCCTTCATACGCGCACCTGATTGGACGACACCACATACCCGCGACTCTGGTTACTGTTAGGGGTCTTTATCTTTTCTTCGGTTTGTTTGGTCATTGCAGTCCAAAGCGCAGGCTGCCGTTTGCACGCCTCACGCCTACGATTACGTCACAGAGGAAGAGGACGCTGGCCACGGGCGAGAAGAGACGCACGTGCTCCTTCGCTTCAATAGTAAACACGAGTCTCCCTCGAGCCAGCCCTTCTTCCTCTGAGCAGCCAATCAGGGGCCGGCGCTGCCTTGTTTGCCTGGGTTACGCAACGGGAGCCGTAGGGCTCCTACAAACATGGACCCGGGCTGCTCACTTGTAGGTAGCGAGCAGTCAGTGCGGGCTGGGCGTGCTTTTCATCCGGCTCCAGGGGCGTTTTAACGAGTCTTGACGTTTTGTTTTCAACCCGTGTCTTTCCAAGAAGGGGAGTCGTCGAGCCCGGCCGCTTGTCAGGACAAAACATGGTGCTACTGACGGCGTTGGTGTCTCCTGTGGTCCGGCGCCTGAGCCTGCAGCTCCGCTGTCATCGCCGCGCCCCGGTGAGGCGATGCAACCTGACGGCTTGCTCCAGCAGGCTGGCGCTGTCCCAGGGTGAGTACGTCCCGGGACACCGGCTGTGTGAGCAGGCAGGCTGAGCTCCGGGCCCGGTCTACTCCTTTTCCGGGTGTGGTGGGGTTTCCTTTGAATGGGCTGGGAGCGCAGGTTTCGCGTGTGATTGCAAGTTGAATGCTATCGTGAGAAAACGATCGTGACTTAGTAGAAATACTTGGAGAAAAGAGTCACAGGTAGCCCGCGGACCATGACTTAGTTTCGCCGGCTGGAAGCTCCTTTTACAGTGCAAGCAAATGCCGGAGTCGAGCTGGTCTCGGTGCTGACCCAGATAGAGCCATTGAGCTTCAAAGCGCCCGGGCCAAGAGCAACGACCAAGATCTTTTAATTCAGCCAGCTGACAGGACTCCATGTAAACAACTAAGAATTCGACTGCAAAGGAACAAGTAAGAGGTTTCTTCCATGCTGAAAAAAAGAGGAAAACAACACAACACCTGAAGAAGGCTCCACGGCCGAAACGTTGTTTTCTTACTTCTTTTTTTCAGCACTGAATAAACCTGTTACTTGTTCCTTTGCAGCCTACGCATGCTGACGCAGCTCCCCACCGGAACTAAAAATGAGATTTTCCAGTTGCCAACCTCCGTCAATTTCTGTTGCCAGATGAGCTTCACTGAGAACAAGACTGAACTTCCAAATGTTTACAGCTGTAACTCTGATCTACTACTGATAGTATCTGCTGCTACTACTGCCCCCCTCCTTTAATCGGTAAACTACAGCTCTCGAGGTGTTTATCAAACGGAATTTACATGAAATAGCCAGCAATAAAACTTGATAGCCAAATAGGGGTCTTTGTTCCGGCAGTGTGGATACAGTGGTCAGAATTGAGAAAAAAAACTTCTATTTAAATGTTTTTGCATCTTTGCGAAGTAGTGAAATTCAGCTCATAGTCCTACAGCTGCCGAGAAGCTGTTGCGTCAGTGTCTTTCTCGTTCTGACGTTCCTCCTGTTTTCACCGGAGCTCAGTTATTAAGAAGGGTGTTACGCAACCGACGACGTCGTTAGTTGGAAGCTCCTTGGTAGAGTCCATCCCTGACGCTCTGGAGTCAACATTCACACACAGTACGAACTGTAGGATCCACCACGGTCAGTTGTCAGTGTTCAAGCACTATAGCCGAGTCCGACTTGAAAGAAATGCAGGCGGTCGGGAGGCAGAGGGGGGAAATTCAAGTGTGTTTTGGTGACGTCATTTAGTCACTATGTTAGTATGAGGGGCTCGTGAATGTAGCCGGTCCATTCAAGTGGTTCAGTGACCGCAGGCCCCAGAGGTCACCAGACACGCCACACCACAGAGCGAGAGATGCAATGCCCACGATCTCTTGGGAACGTTAAAGATAATACGATTTGATTTAAAAATGCCGTTTGAAAACCGAGCCTCTCAGTGCCTGAGTGCCTCACGTCGGCTTGCTATTCTGTGCGGTACAGAGCTGTCCGGTCCCACAGGTGTGCAATGACTCCAGAGCGGAGACCAGGTGTCTCTCCCCACACTGTGGAGGCCGGTCACAGATCGGTGCAGCAATGGCATCATATTAGCAGGGGATGACAGCAAGATGTATGGGGTGGTGCCAATACAGGACACTGGCGGCTCAAGGCCATTATTCTGTTTGTCCGAAAGACAAGATCGTGATTTTTAATAGATCGTGAGTGGTTAGATCCTCAAGTGAAGAACCTTTCACATGTCAGTCCGTAAATCCTTAGTTCATTCGAGCCACACTTAATACGGTTATCGAGAGAGATTTAATCTACATTTTAATGAGTAATACACCTCTAACTAAGAATTGTTATGAAGGTAAAGGTTTTTCGATAAAAAAAAAACTTAGTACACATTGGCGTGTATCACGCGTTTACCATTCAGATTTTTTTTTTCGGCGACACCCTCAGCTGTGAAGGAAGTATAACTTGAGAAGTTCCAAAGAAGCTGGTGGAGAAAGTGTTGTTTTTCCCTGCGAAGTGCGCTGCCCCCGAACCCGTCTTTGTGCTGACGTGTCTGGGTGCAAACCGCCCCACAGATGATTATAAAGTAGCCAAACCGCTTCCCTCTGAAACAGATGTGTTGCAGTTAAACAAGGGAGCGGAGGGCGAGGGAGACGCCGGGACTCCTGCTTCGCTTGTAGCAGCAGAGCCAATTGCGTTGGTGTGTCAGAGTGCCAAAGCTTTTCTAATATAAAGTTCCCTGGGCGTCCACCGCCTTCAGAGCCTCGTACGAGTCAGGGGAGGTTAGTCCTCCAGGGGATTAGTGAGGCTGGAGTAAACTACAGCAGCGAAGTTCTCTCAGCAGTCCGGTCACTTTTCTTCTCTCTCTCTCTCGTCTGCCGTACGGAATACAGCATGAACCGTATGTCTCCGTCTCCTGGCTCTCGTTGTCTCTTTCCCTTCCCCTTCCGAGCGCCGTTTTCCTCTTCCTGATTTGCCAAGGGTGCCTTCGGTCTTGTGTTTCAGTGCACCCCATGTGGCAGACTCCGCTGGCCGTGCCCGGAGGGAGTCGGCAGTCCCCCATCGACATCGCCCCGAAGGACAGCGTGTTCGACCCCCACCTGCAGCCCCTGAAGATCAAATACGACCCCAAAACCTGTCAGCAGATCTGGAACAACGGCTACTCCTTCCTGGTGGAGTACGATGACACTTCCGACAAATCCAGTAAGAAAACTTTGACCCTTTC